ACCAGTGGTCCCCAACCTTGGGCCTCCAGATGTTCTTGGACTTCCACTCCCAGAAATCCTCGCCAGCAGAGGTGGTGGCGAAGGCTTCTGGGAGTTCTAGTCCAAGAACATCTGGAGGCCCAAGGTTGGGGACCACTGGTTAAGACAACAAACACAGACCTCTGAGTCAGGATGACCGGTGCTCACCTACTCTTTCTCTCACCAGGTTGGATGGGTACCTGAGAAAAGGACAAAGATCACATGTTTCCTCCTGGCTGACACCCTGACAATGAATATGGTCAAAGGAAATGGTAGTAACCTCTTGTTTTGCAGTATCCTGTTCAAATGATGGCATGCATAAAGTCAGTCACAGAAGCAACCGCCATGTAGTAGACAAGTAGGCACATGGCTTGGTGTGTAGTTGGACCGCTCTACATCACAGCAGCCATCTCCAAGATTGCCCTTCTGCATGTGGTAATTTGAACAGGATGCTGCTCTTTCGGTCTTAAAAAAGATCTTAGCTCTGTTTGTCTATTGGACTACAATGCCCCAAATCCCCAACTAAAGATTCTTTGTTGTCTTTAGTGTAGGGGAGGGCAAGATGGGTTTGCCCCTCCAAATATTGTTTCACTGGGGATTCTGGGAGTTGCAGTCCAGCAAAGTAACATTTCCAAAACTGTGGTCTGAACTGATGCTCAGTTTAGAACCGTTATTGCAGGTGTAATATTATACCTGTGTCAAGTTGTTGTTGTTTTGTGAAATGCAGCATGAGTTCTGCCAGCAGTCCTGTGGGCTGTGTCAAACATGTGTGCCATTTTCCTTCATACATGATAACAAAATGAAAAGCAAAGTAGCCCTCATTGAAAACGCGAGAAAAGAAGCATAGTTAAGAGAGGATTTAGTTACTGCCCATGAGCACCATCTTGTGGCCTTGAAAAAATGTACTCAGGGTGAGTTGAGATGTAGGAAATCCTAAAAATGGATGTTTTATATGGACTACATTTCTTCCAACTTTCATAGCAGCCACAGAGACATCCCAGCAGTATTTGGTCCATGGAGGCTACACAAGGGGGCTTTAACTCTTTCTTTCCCTGACACAAACCTGATAAAAGCAATCTCTCTGAAGCTGCTATATACATTTCAAAAGGAATCCTCCAGTAGAACTAAGGAATTCTTCTCTTATCTTGGATTTCTGTTCTCAAGTAGAAGCAAAATTTAGCAAAGGGAGCTGTTCTTAAGTTGGATTGTTCTTAAGTAGGGATGTTCTTAAGTAGAGACCCCACTGTACTTGTGTCAAGTTGTTGTTTTGTGAAATGCAGCATGAGTTCTGCCAGCAGTCCTGTGGGCTGTGTCAAACTTGTGTGCTGTTTTCCTTCATACATGATAACAAAATGAAAAGCAAAGTAGCCCTCATTGAAAACGCAAGAAAAAAAGCATAGTTAAGAGAGGATTTAGTTACTGCCCATGAGCACCATCTTGTGGCCTTGAAAAAATGTACTCAGGGTGAGTTGAGATGTAGGAAATCCTAAAAATGGATGTTTTATATGGACTACATTTCTTCCAACTTTCATAGCAGCCACAGAGACATCCCAGCAGTATTTGGTCCATGGAGGCTACACAAGGGGGCTTTAACTCTTTCTTTCCCTGACACAAACCTGATAAAAGCAATCTCTCTGAAGCTGCTATATACATTTCAAAAGGAATCCTCCAGTAGAACTAAGGAATTCTTCCCTTAAAATGTAAATACCAGATTCTGAAAGTTCCCCTCAACCCACCAAGGACTGCAGTATGGAGAGAAAGAGTCACACACACCCCCACTCCCCACACACTGCCCCACAACCATTCAGGTCTCACAAAAACTAAGCATATTCATTTACTTACACAATTTTTGCCATATTTTAGGGAAGCCTGTGGCCTTCCAGATGTTGTTGGACTACAGCTTCCATAACTCCTGTCTGTTGGCCATGCAGGCCACAGCTTACAGGAGCTAGAATTTAACCCTAACTGGAGAGTGGTCACAGCTTCCCCATTTGTCTTAAGAGATGACAAAACACATGAAGAGAGAGTGTTTTTCAGTTGCCACACATGAACCACTCACTTAGGGAAACCTGTGGCCTTCCCGATGTTGTTGGACTACAGCTTCCATAACTCCTGTCTGTTGGCCATGCAGGCCACAGCTTACAGGAGCTAGAATTTAACCCTAACTGGAGAGTGGTCACAGCTTCCCCATTTGTCTTAAGAGATGACAAAACACATGAAGAGAGAGTGTTTTTCAGTTGCCACACATGAACCACTCAAAGAGAATAAATGAGTTGGAAAAGGGCCTATAAGGCTATTGGGTCCAACCCACCACTCAGTGCAGGAATCCAAATCAAAGTAGATTTGACAGTTGTCCAATTTTTTTCTTGAATGCCTCCAGCACTGGAGCACTCCCCACCTCCTGTGGAAATGATGTCCAATTGTCCTACTGCTCTAAAAGTTAGGAAATGTTTCCTGATATTCAGTTATTTCAGTCTTTCCCCATAGGACATGATTGCCACTGTCTGTCAAAACATGACATGATTGCTAGGTTCCACCAACTTTGTAGGGCAGAAATGAGGAATGTGCCACCCTTCAAATGTTGCACTATCGTTCTTGACATCTCTCAGCATTGATTATGTTGGTGATGGGGAGTGAGGTCCAAAATCTGGGAAACCACTTGCATATATGCTGGATCTTTCAGTCATTGACTACCACATTAGGCAGAGTTGGGCAAATTAGACACTTTCCAATTTTGTTGGATTGCAAGATTAAAAGTTAGAGGCCTCATAGTTTAGAGAAAAATAGAAAAGGGGTTGGGATTGAGGATATTTCTAACCAGCATAGCCAACAGTGAACAATGATTGCAGTAAAACAGTATTTAGAGGGCCAACCACAGATTGCTCACCACTACACTCAAGTTAATTATGAGTAAGAAGTGCCTTAAGAAACAAATGATGATATCAGCCTGACGATTCCCATCATATTGTTCTTCATAGGAGTCAAGAAGGCAGATTAAACACCTCAGAACTTACGCATCTCTTGGCCCATCCTGAGAGAGGTCAAAGACCTGACGTGGATTCAAGTACCACATGAACATCTGGAGAACCTTAGTACCCTGTAAAGAAAGTGAAAGAAGATGCTTAATTTTTCTAAAGCATTATTCTTCAATTTCTGTTGAAGTGGTGAAACTCTGCATATTCTGAAATGAGCTCTGAAAAACACCTTAAGGAGGAGACCTATTCCTCCACCCTAGTGTCATCAATCCAAATTAATGGACTTCAGGACATTTACTTCATTTTGAAATCCACTCCATCTGTACAAGTACACAGAAAAGTTGCCAACATGTTCAACACCCCATGTTTACCTGATTCCCTCCACTTTTCGGATTCACAAATACAAGCAAGGGCTTCATAAGTGGGGAAGAGATAGGCTTTATTATAAAAGGTCGGCCTTTGTTCTCCTAGAGTTAAAGAAAAGGAAACACATAATCAGAAGAAGCTGGAATAAACTTTCAGAGGAGGTACAAAATCACTAGCTAGAGAACACATAAGCATTTTAATTAGGACAAGAGCTCGGAAATCATGATAGCAGGTAATGCCGAAATTTTCTTTCCCGAAAGAATCAATAAACCTGCTGAGTTTAAACATCAACAAGAGCGAGCCATCTGCAAATGTATATCTCATTATATGAGGCACTCATACCCTCTATCCAGACCAGGTTCAGGCCACGTCATGGCACAGAGACAGCATTGGTCACCCTGCAGGATGGCCTTTTGAGGGAGACTGACAGGAGCAAAATGTCCCTGCTGGTTGTCCTTGACCTTTCAGTGGCCTTCAATGCCATTGACCATCGTAGCCTCCTGGGGAGGCTCTCTGGGTTGGGTTGTCCTGGCTTTGTCCTGGCTCCCGGTCCTTCCTAGAGAACCATCCTCAGAGATTGCAGCTTGGGGAGATGATGTCCACTCCTCAGACTCTCAGTTGTAGAGTCCCACAGGGGTCAATCATCTCTTCATGGCTGTTTAATATCTACATGAAGCCCCTAGGGAAGGCCGTCAGGAGTTTTGGAGCTCTCTGTCACCAATATGTGGATGACACCCACTCTGTCTCTCCTTCCACCCTTCTGCAGTGGGTGCCGTCCCTTCCCTTCAGCACTGCCTGGATGCAGTTCTGGGGTGGATGAGGGATAATAAACTGAGGCTGAACCTGGACAAGATGGAGGTCCTGCAGGTGGGTGCTCTGAGAGGTCTGTGCTTTGGAGACCTCCCTTTCCTTTGAGGAGGGTTACTCTCTCCACAGTCTGGACATACTTTTGGATCCAGAGTTATCAATGGAGACTCAGGTAGCATCTATGGTTCATTTTGTCTTTTTCCATCTGAGGCAGACCACTGAGCTGCATTCCTACCTTGACACTGGGCTCCTCACCATAGTGAGTGTTGCACTGATAGTCTTGCGATTAGACTACTGTGGTGCTCTTTATGTGGGGCTGCCCATGAGGCTGCTATGGAAACTTCAGCCGGTCCAGAATATGGCAGCCAGATTACTGAGTGAAGAAATACCATCATATCTTCCCTACCCTGGCTGCCTTGCACTGGCTACCTGTTTGTTTCCATGCGAGCTTCAAGGTGATGATGCTGACATACAAGGCCATAAACAGTTTGCGACCTAGGTACCTGGCAGATTGCCTTCTTCCAGTTAGATCTGCCCAACCTATCTGAGCTTCCCGGGCTAGGTGTTTAAGATCACTGACCTGAGATAGGTCCAGAAGGAGAAGGCCAGAAACTGGGCCTTCTCTGCGGTTGCTCCCCACCTCTGGAATAATCTCCTGAAATCCCACCTGCCCCTTCACTAGGAATTTTCAAACAATCTTTGGAAATATGGCTGTTAAGACAGGCTTTCCCAGAGGTCACATCGTCATCATAGCACAGGGGGTTTTCAGTGCTTATACTATCTGTTCCACCACCTTGCCTTTTAAATTTAGTTTTAGTTATTTTGATGTTGTTGTTCTCTATGTAGATTGATATGTTTAATTTTGGTTTTTCTTATAGCTATTATGCTTAGTGCCTTTTAAAGTGTTGTCTGTTTTATTGTGTCGTGAACCGCCCAGAGTGGCCTTGATAGCCAGTTGGGCAGTATAGAAGATGAATTAATCATCATTATGGTCATCATCATCATGATCATCATTATCTTTAAGTCAAGGATTCCACACAGAAATGTTTGGATTTTTAACAGTCTCTTGAACTGTAAGGAGAGCCTCTAAGGCAGTGGGTTTCCAGATGTTCTTGGGTTCAAATTCTCAGAAGCCTTCGCCACTAACTGTGCTGGCCAGGATTCCTGGGAGTTGTAGTCCAAGAATATATGGAGACCCAAAGCTGGGAATCACTATGAATATAATGTCATCAGTGTCGGATCTCAGGGAGAAAATATTACTATGGTTTTAATAATAATTAATAATGAAGATCCTAACAATAACAATGCTCCAGGACTGTTCTAAGAGATATCCAATCTGAAAAAATCCTCCCTTTCAATCTAAAAGTGTTGAGCAGGGGCAAAATATTACAAAATTATTCTCTACTCCTCCTAGAGATTACATGTGATCTTTTTGTAGCTAAAACATTAAAAACAAAACAGGACACTAAGCATCTAGGAGTGGGGATGCAGGCAGCTAACCAGCTACATTTTGCCCATTAAAGGGGAGGTGGTAATGATGATGCGTTATTTAAAAGGTTTACCTCATTCCCTCTTTTGCTGGCTTTCCTTTTAAAAGATGTCCTCTTCTTTCGCCTGGTTGAATTTTTCAATGAATTCTGCATTGGTAAAAAAGGAGGGAAAGGAAAGAATACTTAGAAAGAAAGAACCAACAAAGGCAAGTATCCCTCTAAGAAACACCTTTGTGACTGTGGCAGTACCTGTGGAGAATGATACACCATCTGGCACACATGCGTGAGTTGAAAAGACATGCGCCTCATGCTTTACACTGTCACACCACTGGTTATGGAGGAAGCCACACACTGAGACCAGATGGGTACTTTCAGAACTGGAAACTTTCCAACGCTGTGAGGAAGGAGAAAACTAGATGCTCCCATAGACTCACATAACAGCACATGTTGTACCTGCCAACCCTCCCAATGCAGGTAGGAGACGCCCGTTTTCCTTCCGGGACTCCAGTCTCCTGCCCAATCAGGTTCGTCTCCTGATGCGGAGACCACCTGCATGAAAAGGTTAAGGAGAACAAGATAAAGCAAGCTGTGCTTCATGGGATTTTTCCTCTTGAAAATCATGGCAAGCATCAAAAGTATGCATTGCCCTCCTTGAACCAATGGGCTTTGCAGAACCTGGAAAACTTGCTTGCTGGGACTGTAGCTTTGAGAATTTCCTAAGAGGCCATGAGGTTTGGGGAGTTCTAACCCTTAAAAAAAAAAAAGTTTTCCGGGTTCTAACTAGTGTATCAAATCACAGATGACGTTCTGAACACAAAGTTATTAACTATGTAGGTGTTCCTTTTTCTTCTTCTAGGTCCTACGTGGGAAGCTGCATTATAACAAGACACACTGTCTGACTATCTAGCCCCATGTTATACATCTGTACTGAGAGCTATTTGAGGGTGGGATTTCAGGCAGAAGAGTTTTGGGCATATTTGGTAGTTTGATAATTTTTTACATACTTTAACTCAAGCCAATGGGCACAGGGTCTCCTCTGATCTGAACCAAGGATGCCAAAGATGTGACAAAGCAACCAAAGCACCAGTTTGGGACAAAACTAATATCCACTTAGCCAAACAAACTTCAGAGAGGGGTTTAATTGCAGAATGTCCCTGTGATTTAAAAATAGGAATGTCCCTGTGATTTAAAAATAGGAGAGGTGTGCCCAGATGGGCAATGCAGTTGCTTTTATTTATTTATTTATTTATTTATTTATTTATTTTTCTATGCCGCCCATACTACCCAAAGGTCTCTGGGCAGCTTACAACATTTAAAATACAATAACATTTAGAACAATTAAAATACAATTAAAATATATATTAAAAATTGCCATCGGACCCACAGCTAATATTATTTCAATTAAAAGCCTTCTAGAACAGGAAGGTTTTGACCTGGCGCCGAATTGTCATCAACGTCGGCGCCAGACGAATCTCAGTTGGGAGGGCATTCCATAGTCTGGGGGCAGCTGCCGAAAAGGCCCTTAGGTTGGTCTCCTTTGAGGAATACCCAGCACAACAACTGGAAGTTCATTCCTAGAATACTGGCTTTGTGCCCATATTGTTCATCACATTTACAGTAGTGTCCATAGTGTTCAGGATTCATTCTTCTTTGAGGTCTAGAGCAGTGGTCCCCAACCAGCCTCCAGATTTTCTTGGACTACAACTCCCAGAAGCCTTCACCACCACCTCCGCTGACCAGGATTTCTGGGAGTTGAAGTCCAAGAACATCTGGAGGCCCAAGGTTGGGGACCACTGGTCTAGAGGATATCAGTGCAAAATGTTTATGTGTCAAATATATGGTCTGCCCAAGATGTCTTTGTGCTGTCAAATACCCCTTCCTTGGACACCAACAGAACTGGAATCCCAGTAACCCATGTGCTGCTGCCCCACAGCAGAGTCTGGAGACAAGGTGACAAGTCTTAGAACTCCCACAATGTTGCTGCTGTTGTTGTATTGCAAAAATGGAAATAAGGCTACTTGATTTGTGGTGGACCAGAATAAGACAGATCTACCCAGAATGGGTTGTGGCTATCATAGGTTGAGCAATACTGCAAATACCCTCAGAATTAAGTTTTCTAAACTTTGATCTACGGATCTCTGTGGTTATTAAAGGTTCTTAGGCTGTGTAATTGAGTCTTATCATCCATGGTAAAAATTGGGATCCAGAAGGCTAGTAAAAACTGCTGGGTGAATCTGGAAACAAGTGTCTACTGATTCTCAACTCTCAGTCTGCAGCTGCTAGCAGCCTACCATGTAAACTGACAACAGCAGCCACACACATCCAAACACAGGGGGAGCTCATCTGTGTGGCTGCTATGGAATAATTCTGCATCATAAAGGGCTTTAAGTGTAGAAATAAACTCAGCATGGAGTCCCCTAGTGTCATTTGCCTAGAGACAATTGGGCAGGAAAGTACAAGCAGAAAATTTAATTTATGGTTAATTTTAAGCATTTCTAATCTGTAAATGGTTAATAAGGTAATCACAAAATTTGCATGTATCAGTTCATGCCTCTCATGAGTTCATGCCTCATTTCATGGTTTGTTTTGCTCTCAAAGCTAAAAACAACAAAAACGAAAGCCCGGGAAAATTTAAAATTTTATTTTTTAGAAAAATCTCACACTTGAAACTGAGCAAATCTTGGTCTCATCTTTCCCCTCACATACTGACATCTTCACCCTTTGGAAGTGAAACAGATTCTGTAACACTGTGGTTAAAACGCTGTACTGCAGCTAAAAGTGGTTTGTTTTGCTCTCAAACCAACTGAAAACAACAAAAACGAAAGCCCGAGAAAATTGTAAATTTTATTTTTTTAGAAAAATCCCACACTTGAAACTGAGCAAATCTTGGTTTCATCTTTCCCCACACAGACTGATATCTTCACCCTTTGGAAGTGAAACAGATTCTCTAACACTGTAATTACTATACATATATGCTTTTTTTACATTCTCCCTGTGAGGGGAACATTAAACCCAACCTAATCCTCCATAGTCCAAATCCTGCTGGCAGGCCCAACTAGAGTAGACCCAATGGATCAGTAAGATTTATGTAAGTGAGCATTCATCAATCAGCAAGTCTACTCTAGCTTGTAGCACCTCTGCATGGGTCTACCTCAAGGTACTCAGATGTATTTTATATAAAGTCAAATCCCCAGATTTCTCCACCTTAAGTACTTACAGCATGGAGGCAATACTATCAAGTACTATCTCCTCAGTTAAATCTTGGGAGCTTATTTTACTCTACAGCTACCTATACAGTTGCTGTTTTCTTACCACAGAGTCTGCTTACAAGTCCCTCCTAAGTAAGATTTTGGGTTCAAATCCAATAAAATCAATTCTGACTTATGGCAACCATTCTCAGAGTTTTCCAGGCTTAAAGTACTCAGTAGTAGTTCAGCATTCCCTTATTCTGGGGGATGCTCTAGGATTGTGCAGCTTGCCTAAGTCTACATAGGCTGGGTCTTCATCCTGGAGGCACACGGAGGAATCAAACTCCCAAACCTCAGTTTCACAGGCCTAACTTACTGATCTACTGGCAACCTCAAACCTTTCTTGTTCCTGCAGATGCCTTTTTCTAGTTGCAACATATTATGTCTGGTAATGGGAGCAGCACCTATGCCACCCTTGAACTTGTTTGTAAACTGCTAAGCTAGATGGACTTGTCCAGTGGCTGGTTCGGTTGCCTCCATAGTCTAGCTGGAAAGCAGCAGCCACAGCAGCTGTAGCAGCAGCCCGAGACAGTTTTGTTTGGAGGACTTCTTTGGCTTCTGGGAAAGCTGCCGTGAAGGGCATGACTGACATGCACTGACAAGTGTGAGGTGGAAACTGCTGGATTGACCCCTTCCTTCCTCTTCTCTTGCCTTCCCCCTTTCTTAGCATCTTGCCAGCTTGTATGGGGTTGATCTCTATTAACACCCCTTTCTACAGCTAGTGGGAAGAATTAGGTGAGCTGCCTCCTATCTTCTCCTGCCTGGGGGGCAGCACTGCCCACATCTTCTCAGGGTTGAGGGCTTCTCTGTCTGCCTTGGCTTCAGAGGGTGGGCCAGCAGGACCTAAACTCCTCACCTTTACTCACAAGTAAATCCCATTAAGGTGAGGGGATATTTCTAAACTATGCCAAGACTGCAACATACATAGCTAAGGCTCGAATCCAAGCACTAGTCTTAGCAAGAGTAGACACACGTAATCATTGGGATGTGTATAATGTTGACTTATTATTCTGCAATTGATTCAATGGTCTTCTGTAGCTGAGACTTGCAGCTGGCAATAAGCCCAAGCTAATCTAGACATTTCAGATAAAGCCACACAGATTTCGGGGTCATACAGACCTTGCCATGGGCACTACTGCTCTCTAAATAAGACAGACTGCAGGCTACTGTGGGCAAATTTAATTTTGTCTCATTATACTTCTTAAAGCTACGATGTGCATGTGTACCAGCCAGAAGAAAATGGAGTACAGAAATCCTTTTCTCATTAAATTAAAGCTTCTCAGTGTTTTAGATGACCATTTTAAATTACTACAACATGTGTAATTGTTGACGTTGCAATGTATTGTAATTTTTGTCCAGCTTATTTTAATCATTGTGAGCAATATGGGGTCCTTCCATAAGGAGAAGGGGGGCATAGAAATAATAAATAAATACATGGACTACTTGAGTGCTGTCTCAAGTGACTTAGTGAATTGTTTTTCTACTCTCTTCCTTACGTAATCTAATATAAAGGGACTATATTAAATTGTCTCACTGCCCAGGCCTGAGTCCCTGAGAAGGCAGGTACGTCTTGTCCATTGAAACACTGACGTATCTCCTTCTTGGATGTGTACATTCAGGCTTTAACATATGCTAAAAGGCCAGCGCTCTTTCCCCACCCAACCACAATGTTCTTCACATTTTCTGAGCTCTGCCTGAACATCCATCCCTGCTCACACGTAGAGGCTACACAAAAAGAGGAGCTTTGGAAAATCTGCTTGTGAGTATAGTTTATAAGTAGAGATGAGGACAAATATAAAAACAGATTGGTTTTTCCGACAAATATATCCAATTCGTTAAATATTCATCAGTCTGTATTTGTGTGTTCCAGACACCCCCACGAATACGAAGGGATGAATA